ATTTCAAGCTCTCTTCACCATTAAATTCAAGTGCTCAGGTTGTAAAACGAAGGATTTGATCACCTCTGAAAACAAAAGAACTGAGCATAAACAGCAACGAGAAATTCGACGTTCATCTTGCGAGTAGACAGAATAACATGTCTAATCCAATGCTGTACATTAATGTGAATGACGAAGTCCACTCTTTGAGGAAGCCTTTCTTGGTTATTTTTACATCTTCACAACACGTGAACGCAACGTCAAAACAGATTGAAGTTCTCAAAAGAATTTAGCTACAGCTTCTTTCTTCAGTTTCGGGTAACAAAGGAACTGCCTTTGTTGTGTCATGCAATGTGCAGGATACAAACACAACGGTGGGAAACTCAAGCGACTTCCGAAGCAAAGCAAAGCTCTTGTTGCACTTCAGAAATGTGAGCAGTTCTTGTTTCAGCAGTGAATACCGCAACACAACAGTCTGGAGCCTCAAGCCGGCCGAAACAATTAGCTGAGTAACTATTATAGTCACTAGTTCCACAGGGCTTCTTTGGCATTATTGATGGCCTTATAGGCATCCTCGTTGATCTTCTTACACTGCAATATCACATCTGAAAACACACAAATTACAGGACTTTAGGGCCGAGGTGTTATGGCCAACAAGCAAAGTGCAGGAAAAGTGCGAACAGAAAGTGCGGGAAGATTGACGAGAGATAGCTAAGGGCTGGTTACGTCAACCACGACCGGAAGAAAGATACTCTCTTTGTGCATGCTAAGTGACGGAACGTATGAATATCTTGATATTCTGGGTGAATGGTTGTGAGGTGCGATGGTAAAGGAGTGTACTGTTCTGTGCAAATGCTCTTCGAAAAATGGTAAACAGTGTTATTGTCAATCCTTATGATGCCATCTTATTTCTGTTAAGTGCTCTTCAAGTATTTGCTATCGTAAAATTCAAGAATCTTGGGGGGAAAAGCAACCATGAAATCTACTTTGATTTGCATATCACTATCCACTGAGATTATTGAAGTGACGATACACTTGGACACTGGGCACTGTGCGAAAAGGTCACTATTGCAAAATGGCATAATAATCAATTTATAAGTGACAATCAATTAATTAATTAATTACTGTAACTTTTCAGAATTCATATCATGTTCAATTGTGCATGGTTAAAAGTTCAGAATATGAAATTACAATTGAAAAACACTTGCAAAAATATAATTCAAAATCTGCTACACTTAACCTTTTCTTTTAATACAGGTTGTCATTACAATATTATTACCACTGATCATAAAAGTAGATGATGAATAAAAAGTAGTTTATCTATGAATTATCCACATAGACTATAACTTATGCAATGTAAGAATCATGTAATGTTCTTGTCATTGTCACTCATTACAAAAGTGGTTTTACAAAGTATTACTCAAGTATGCTAAAACTCATAGTCATACAATGCAAGAAATATACCATGCTCTCATTAGAACTGGCCGTTATAAACTAGAGAAAGTTCTAATGAAATTAAGCAACAGAGTGCACTTTCTGTATTTCTTTTTCTCTAGTCAGTGGTGGACCCTAAGTTAGTTGCACATGTGTACATTAGTAAATTGTCATTCACAAAATTCAGATATTGTGTTTTAATCACAAAAATTAAACATTATTTTCCGAAACATGTCTTCCAAATTTAAGGGTGTGTGTATTTTCTTTAAA